TCCTGGCGATAATGATGTTGATGATGATGATGTTGATGATTATGGTGTCCCGATGATGATGCTGATGATGGATGGTGATGATGATGGTGATGCTGATGGTGTCCCGATGATGATAATAATGATAATGACGATGTTGATGATGATGTTGCTCATGATGATGATGGTGCCCCAATGATGATGATGCTGTTGTTGGTGATGATGATATCGATGATGATGATGATGATGATGCGATGATCATGATGATGATGGTGTCCCGAGGATGATGACGATGTTGATGATAATGTTTATGATGGGAACGATGGTGATCATGATGGTGTCCCGATTATGATGATGATTATGATGATGCTGCTGATGCTGACGATGATTGTGTCCCGATGATGATGATGATGATGATGATGATGATGATGATGATGATGATGATGAGATGATGATGGTGATGATGATGGTGATGATGATGTTGTCCCGATGATGATGCTGACGTTGATGATGATGTTTATGATGATGATGACGGTGCCCTCATGATGATGACGATGTTGGTGATGATGCTGATGTTGTTGATGATGATGATGATGACGTTGATTGTGAGAGCGATTGTGATATCGATAGTGAGATCGATATTGAGACCGAATGTGAGATCGATTGTGTGATCGATTGTGAGATCGATTGTGCGATCAAGTGTGAGATCGATCGAATGAGATAGATCGAGTGAGATCGATTGTGAGATCGATCGAGTGAGATCGATCGAGCGAGACCGATAGTGAGATTGATACTGAGATCGATAGTGAGACCGATCGAGTGAGACGTTGGTTCCCCCCCCGAACCTCCTTATCACCCGAAGGGTGGTCGTATAGGTATATCATGTCCCGGGAAGAGACCGAAAGTATCGTCGGCTTTATTCGCCTGCATAGTCGCAGGGCAAGATGAGAGTTCTTGAGACAATGCTACGTTCTTGTCTTGACCAATGTCGTAAAATCCGTCGAAGACGACACGCCCCTTGAGTTTCCTATCTTTGTGTCCCTCTGCCAGTTCGACGTTCTTTTCAACGAGAATAGCAAAGAGCCTGCCAATGTGGAAGGTATCACCATCATCATTTTTCGAACTCGTCTCAGCTCCATGACCTTGCTCTCGTCCCACGTGTTGATCTCACGCAACCTATCCCATTTCTTCTTCAAAGCAGCGGTAGCCCCTTCCCGTTTGTAGATCCTGGTGGTTCGCACCATGATCTGCTCAAATTTCGCTTCCCCTCTGTCTGGGCAGCCAGAAATTTGACTGTCTTGCAAGAATAACTTCTCTCTCAGCCAATGAACCTGCCATAGCACTGGTATAACGCACAGCTCTCCGCCTGTGTCCCGCAGGCAGCGGTGGGGCAGGAGGGTGTCCAGAGGGTCCTTCATCGTCCGTCGGGTCCTCCCCTACTACTTCCACAGCCGCCTTTCCTGCTCCCTCGTCATGGGCAGGAGGCGGTGGCATCTCATCCGCAGCATTGCTTCCAGCCGGTCCGCTCGACGACGCGGATCCCCCCCCAGACGACTGACCGCCGTCTTGGGGTTTCTTTTGCTTGCCCTCTGGAACGTTCTCCCCAGACGGTAGATCTCTCAGATCAACCGATGGCATCGTCATCGACGCAGTATCATAGGCCTCTCTAACGGGAAATAGACGACAGCTCCCAGAGGCTCGTTGTCTGCTGCGCCGTCTTGGCCCGTCTCAACTGCCGCCTCGACGCCCATGTCGGTCCAGATCTGTTCCGATCTTTCTACCACAGGCCTTCGCCCGTCATGTTTTACTCCTGTCTTAAAGTTGAGTCCCTCGAGCTACTTCAGAGACATGCAATAATGGCCAGGACCCCCCCGCCCCCCCGCATGATGGACATGGCCAAGGTAAGTGCCCGCTCTAGTCCGCGGGCCAGTCTTGGGGTGCTTGATGCGAGACTCAGGGGGCGGAAGGTACCTCGCGGCAGATCCGAACGGTACTGAGGACCCGTGAAGTGAAGTACCATTTCTTTCCTTTGCAGAGCCATCCGCGTCTTTTTCCTGCGCGCTGTAACATTGGCAGAATTGAGGCGCAGCGTGTACCCAGTACGGGGCCGGTAGTCCTGCCGTCATGAGAAGGGTCCTGGCCCCATCCTGCTCGATAGCATTGGCCCTCTCGGCCACTGAGTTATGTTTCTTGTTCGCGTGCTGCGTAGAGTCGTGAGCAGTCATGGACTTGCTCAGAGGATGCACGTTCAGTGTTTTGCATGCTCTCTTCAATTCAGGGGCCGCGTCCGTATAGATGCACTCTAGCTTCTCGGCGGGCGCCCTTAGGTTCACATGGGAATCAACCACGTACTCGGCCGACTTGTCGTGGGTGCTCTGGCTTGCCAGGAATCCCGCGTACCGGTTGCGTCGTTTCACGCACGAGGTTTCCCCGTGGAGTCCCCCCGATAGCTCATCAGCCGCAAACCAGTGGCCCATGGTGGACAGGCCACCGAATTTCTTCGGCTCAGTATGGTCGCATCTGCTTGTAAGCCTTATTTTGCTTCTGCCTTTGTTGCGTTCTCAACGTCTTCGCCTGCTGGCACGTTGAGCAGAACGGGTTCTTAGGCGCATGAGTGAGCAGGTGCTGACATGAGACGGCCTCACGCTGTAGGCGCTCGTACTTCGTCGCCCCCTCAGGTCCTGCATCTTCCATTGGGTCATCGCTAGGGTCGTCGACTACCTTCACGGCTCCTTGTCCCTCGGGCGTTGCATCGGCGATTTCTTCTTCGCTTGGTGCAGACACCGCCGTCGCGCGACAGGGCATAGCCCTGTCCGCGCATTGGTTTTGGCACCGTGCAACTTCAGCATAGCTGCATCCTTGCATCGGCGCCATCGTAGTACTGCCACTAACAAAACCTGTGTCCGTCTTCGTCCACCCCAGCTTTGCTGCTTCGTGGGGCTCATAGTAGAAGTAGGTGAGCACATCAGACGGCGGTGCCAATGCGCCGTCCGTGGTCAGGAGTCAGTCCTGAGGCGCCGTCCGACTGGATATCTGGCTTGCCGTTCGAGTAGGAGTCTTCTGCCATCACCCTTCGCGAGTGCAGCACCGGGTTTGTGCGGTGCCCGAGTGCTTGGAGCGGGGGGCCACCCGGCACGCCGGGGTAATCAAGGCTGGACCTCGCGCCGATCTCCTCCGCACACGCCCGCCGCTCAAGCCCAGGCGAGCCGGCGGGAGCTGCCTCGTCTGCTTGACCCAACGCCCCTCTGCCACTCATAGTGAGGTAGGGGATCTTAGAGGAACAAAAGGTGACATAAGCATAACAACTCGGAGGTCCGCGCGGATTTCTCGGATCGGCGCTAGACCCCCCTCCCTGCTGGCGCGCGGAGCGCGCCAGGGGCGGCGCCGGAGTCGCCGCCGGGGGGCCCCAGCGCCGATCCGAGAAATCCGCGCGGACCTCCGAGTTTTTTTTTGTTTATGTCACTTTTTTGTTCCCCTAGATCTCGCCCTCAGCTGAGAGTTCCAACCTTTTCCTTGTGGCAGCAGTAGGCGCGGCGCTCTGCCCGTTACCCCGTGGAACCTGTAACCGTGGTACACGCAGAGCTCGCCCACTGATATCATGCTCGGAGTTTCCGGCATGCCATTTTTTCCTATCTCCCCTTTATTGAGCTTGTCGCCGGCGATCCTGATCGCACCGAGGGCTCAAGACTGGCCACCCGCCGTGTTCAGGGCGATGGGGGAGGCCAGCGGAGAGATCCTGTCAACCATCCTTGCCTCCTGCAAGTACTTGACATGAATAGATCAGACTCGAGCCGCAGCCCGTGTCGACGATGAATCGCATCGGCCCAAGACGGACGGGGCCCGACTTCTTATCCCTCGTGGCATTACGTTGTTTTCTAGCAGACATAGCAGCAACCAGCTCGCCGTCATGTCCACTGCTGGCATCACTGAGCTCGCCATCGGACTGTTGCTCCCAGCCAACCCACATGCACCAGACTTCCTGCTCCAGTGCGACAGCCTCATCGAATGCCAGCTGCGCATGGATCTTCGCCTTTCGCGCACGCTTCTAAGCCCACTGAGGATGAAACTCGAAAGGCTCTCCCCGTGTACTTGGTACCGATATCGTTTCATTTCTCTTCGGTCGAAGAGTCCAAGTGGCTGGTTGCGGCGTGCTTGGGTCTCTGCGTACCTTCCGTTGTCCATTGATTGGAGCACGTTTTCGTTCATGTGTGCGCGTCGATAGAGCGCTCCTCCTAGGTCTCCCGTTCCTCAGTAGTTCGAGGGCCTGTTTCGGAAGCGTCACAGTCCCGCCTTCCTGGAGACACCTCAGCAACTTCTGTGCAGGGTGCGTAGGCGTATGCGCGTCGATAGAGCGCATCTCTGGGCTATTTGGGAGGGTATCGGGGTCCTCTTGGGGCTCATTTAGGGGGTCTTGGGGCTCTCTTGGGGCCCCGTTGAGGGCTTCTTCGGAGCCTTCGAGGGCCTCTCGGGGCCATCTTGGAGGCGTCGATCAAGATAGATGGGGCCCAACATTTCCCTCCCCCATTCGGGGCCACTCTTGTGGCCTTCTTGTGGCCATTCTGGGGCGCTCTTGGGCGCCATTGGTGGTCTTGGGGCCGTCTTGGGGGTCTCTTGCACCCCTCTTGGGACTCTATTTTGCCATCTTGGGACCATCTTGGGGCCTCAAAGCCGCATCGGAAGCAACCTTGCAAACATGCACAGACTTACGTCAATGCTATTCGATCTTGAAGGATGTTGCCCTCTCGCGACCCCCCTCCTAAACAACCTCCTTGAGGGGGGGGGAGAGTTACACATCCCGAAGGGAAGAGGGCCTTCGGAAGAGGAGGCCATGATATCGTTAGACCACCTGCTCCCTCAAGCGCTGGCGGAATACGTTTGCGCTACATGTTGTGTTCGGACGTGCGCCTCCACGTCCTCTGCGTCCCACCTCAAGGCGAAACCACTGACAGCTCTTCTCTTCTCCCTGCTCCGCCCCTGGAGAAGTGCCCCCCCCCTCCCCCCCCTCCCCCCCCCTTCCCCCCGAGGCAGCTCGGCGAGGACGAGACCACCGCGCAGGCAGCGGGGCTCACCCCCCTCTGGATGTCGCGACGTGGGCTGCAAGATGGAGAAGGAGGGGGAGGAGAAGGAGGAGGAGGAGGAGGAGGTTTTTGTACAGGAGGTTTTTGTACAACAGGAGTTTTGCTAAATCAAGTCGTATGCAGCTGCCGCTTGAGCTCGACGAGGCGAGAGGCCTCGCAGCAGCGGTCCGCCACCAGCTGTTCAGGCAGTCGGCCCAGGGCATGTTTGCCGAGGCCACACGGCAGGAGGAGATGATGAGGAGGAGGAGGAGGAGGAGGAGGAGGAGAGGAGGAGGAGGAGGAGGAGGAGGAGGCGCACTTGCCTGGTGGAGGATGCGGCACGTGCTCTTGTGCCGGCGCGCTTGCGCCCCGCCGCTTAGCGATGTGGCAGGCGAGGCTACCGGAGGGGGGGGACCCAAGCTGTCTCGCATAAGCGAGGCTCGGCCCTCCCCTGGAGAGCGGGCACGCACGCCGGGCAATTTGCCCCTCTGCAGGGTCTCCGCAACACAGCGCCCGTTGGTTGCGCCACGATCAGACTAGACCAGGAGGAGGATTTCGAAGATGGAGGCGGATGGGGGATGGTCCTTAGAACATCTGGTATGTTGTAGGGCATTCGCCAGCCTGCCGACGAACGCCCAGGTGCCCCTGACCCTTGCGCCACGTCGAGGATTGAGGAGGGGGCGGTACGATGCGAGATAACATGCGATGGCATGGGCGCCCGCCGAAACTTCGGTGCAGTCAGATCGAACAGGCACGTCGTGCACCCCGCTCTCGCCCCTCTTGGCAGCGCCGACGTCGCGACCGCATGCCTCCTGGCCGCGCGCAGAAGGGGGGCACGGGGGGGATGCGGGAAGGCTTCTTAGAAGCACGCTTGCTGGTCAGAAGGCGCGGGTCTGGTCTGTGGATGTAGGGCTGGCGCCCTCTAAGGAACAGCCTCCTGAGAATCGGGGGCGCACTGGCCCAGGTCCATGCAAGCCCGGGTGAATCAGGCTTTGCAGGGTCTGGCAAAGTCTTGCAGGATCCTGCACGATCCTGCGCGCTAGCCCGGGTCAGTGCAACCCTGATTTCGCAGGATCCTGCAAGATCCGGGGCCCTGGCTTACCCCCGTCTGCATTGACCCCCGCCCCAACGCTGCCGAAAAAAAGCCTCCCCCCGTCCCTTCTAGACCTCCTAGACGTGGTCGGAGTAGGGTCGGAGGATCGCGCCGCATCGCCGATGCATCCCCGATGCTGCTCGATTTGGAGCCCGATTTCCTTCACGTCGACGTCGCCGATGCACCGCCGACATCGACGATGCGTCGCGTGTGCATCGCCGATGCATCGCCGATGCATTGCCGATCTGGCGCGCTCCTCCGACCCCATCTACTCGGACCCCACCCAGGAGGCCTCAATCCCCCCTACACCCCCTTGTGTGCGCCGCCAGAGGAGGACGATGAGCAGCACTGATCCCAGCGGCAGCAGTCGCAGCAGTTGCAGACCGCCAGCCTTTTCACATGACGCGAGAAGCAGTGCCGACTGTCTGATCGTGCTGCCGCCTGTGTGTGCCATTGCGCGTGGGGAAGGCCACGCGGAAGGGATCATGGCACGGCTGTGTCGTGGCATTTCTGTTGCGTTGTCTCCAGGGGTGCTTCTCTGGGGCATCCTGGAAGCCTCTCGGGGGCGTGTCGGGGGCCTCTTCCAGACCATGCCTAAGGCCTGCCGTCCGCGGCGAACACGCTAGATCTCGTCCCGATGTCCGGGCAGCCACCAGGCGCCCGCCTTCCGCGGCTAACACTGCGTCGCAGTGATGCATGCTCGGCTGCCCTCCAGGCTGTCGGCACCACTGCGACGCAGTGTGCTCTTAGCCTTGCGAGGCGGTTTGTTGAGAGCGCGACTGCAGAGGGCATGCGTCCGTCTGTGCGCGGGCCGCGCAGTGTACTTCAAGCAGGATGGTTTGCGCCCTGCTGCCACTGGCATCTCTACGTGTGGCGCCCTTCCTCTTCCCGCGTAGCTGTGCACTTACAGTTCAAGTGTTTGTCGCTACTGAGCCTCAAGCGGGGCGTCGATTAGGACATACTCGATCGGATGCTCGTCAAGTTGGTCTCCGCTGGAGTATGTGGTCAGGACTGGCTGGATGATCTCGTCTGGCAGGGTCACCAGGTTTTAGATGGCGCTGCTCGGTGGCCTGCTACGGGTGATCTGGGGGGTCAGCAGAGGCCGTTTATAGGCGCGGTGGCCGCAGAGCCACAGCGGTGGTCACGTGAAGTCTTTTTGATCGTCCACGCCCATCAGCCGACGTAGTCCCTGGGTGGCCCCGGCGGCGAGCATGGCCCAAATCATCACAGACTGCGGGCTAGCGTCCGCGCTCAAGGGCTGCTCCGAGCGACTGGAGGTGGAAGCAGCTGCCCTGTAGTCTGGCATCCTGATGCAAGCAGAAAGTGGCGATGGCCGCAACGCGACGGGGCCCTTGCATGGGACTCCATCCAATGTTTGGATGGCTCGATCAGGCCGTTCTCGTCGTCGGGTGCTGAGCGGACAATTTTGGCCAGTCGCTTTGCTCGGCCTCTGTCCGCTACTCGCGAAGGCAGTTTTCAAAGGCGGGGAGGGCGACAAATGTGCTTGCATAGTGATTGGCAGAGGTATGCTGTTTGACGAGGAGGTGGCGGGTTTCGATGTGAGGCAGCCGTGGAAGACATCTGGTATCATTGTAGACGACGGGCTGTCTTTCCAGCCGCCCGCAGCGGAGGTCCCAGCTGGTAGCAGAAAGAGTACCTCAGGAGTGTTCTGGCGCAGCGGAAGTTGGCGTTTTCTTTATCCCAGTACCGCCGTGCTACTTCCTTTCGCCATATCCTGGCATGGTGGAGTCCTCTTCCCACCAGCTGGGAAGCTGGCAGTTTTCCCGAGGACACGTCATGTCCGTCACGGCCGAGTAGGCCATCGCGGCCCGGACCGGGCTGCCAGTCCCGCCGACGGCGCAGCTGGCGGCGGCGTTGGCGGGAGGCGACCGAGCGTTCTTCTGGACACTGTTCGGGAGGAGGCAGGAGGGGTCAGGAGGCAGGAGGAGGAGGAGGAGGAGGAGAAGGAGGAGGAGGAGGAGGAGGGAAGATGACTCCAGTGCCCCACACCTCCTCTCGTTGTTCAGTGGAGAAGACATCGGACGATACTTTTTTTCCCGTTTTCGGTCTCTAGGCGGTCTCACTGGGAAGGTCATGAGTTCTGGGGGTCTACGTCGCGAACAAGTCACGATGCCAGAGGTTTGGGCTGACGACTAGGCATGACGGAGGAGGCAGGACGCAGGCAGGTGATGTGAGGCAGGAGGGGGAGGGGCGACTTTGGGGGGATGGGGGGTGGGCGCTAACCCGCAGGCGGCGTCGGCCGACGTGCCCAAGCGCTGGGGGCCAAAGACGACAGCCGCCGAGATGGCCGCCAGTGCCAACCCGACGGAGCAGGCTCGCGTCCGCAGTGCTCTGACGTCCTGAGGTCCAGCGGCGCACCTTGCACGACAGTTCAGCCATAATCAGACTTCGGGCGCTCCAGACTCGCCTTCGAGGGATCGATGGCGTTGACTTATCTGCCTCGACGGAAGGACGGCGGAAGCCGGCGAACGAAAATCGAGTGCGATTCCGCTGGCGGCAGCGGAAGTTGCCGGCCTGAAGAGATCTCAACGTTTTTAAATCCAGGGTGTCTGGAGCCGGCCATCTGAACACATGTCGCTGAATGGACTTTTGAGCTATTTCCCCTCCAGCTGCTCGGTTGAAGCTGCTCCTGCTGCTGCTGCTGCTGCTCCCTCCTCATGCCCCCCCCCCTCCTCACGCACGGGGTGCGCGTCACCTGCGAAAGCACAGCGACCGATCTCCCCCGCCGCTGCGCACACCCTGGAGCGCTTTGCAGCCGTGCCCTCGCGCTCGCGCCCGCGCCCACCGCGAGGGGGTGTCGAGGAGCAGGCCGCCCCCCCGGCCATCTCCCCCCCATCACTCGAGAAGGAGATCGACTACATACAGAATTCATTCACACCAGACTTGTGAATTTCTCGTCGAGTCGATGGACAAAAAGAAACGCCGAACTTTCGTCGGACACCGAACATTCTAGGCATTTGGTTCGTAGGTTCGACGAACAAGCAAGTGTCTGGGTACATCAATCATGTAGTCGATCCCTACTCGAACGACGCCCTCTCATCTCACCCGAGCGACGACAAGAATCAAGGTCGACTGCCCAGGCAGGGGCGCGCAAGCGCCCTGAGTACTATGAGGGTGCAAGCGCCGAGTGTGGAAGGCATGATGATCACACGACGGTGAAACATCTCCAGCTGCCTTGCTCGTGCTTGCGCTTTACGTGCGCGTGGATACCGTTGCTTTTTCTGGTCCAGAAGAAGGCCTAGAGTCCGAAACGTGCCTCCATGGCATGAGTAGTTGAGGTCAGGGATGCACCAAGGGGTGCTGGGAGGTTTCCAAGGTCTTCGATTCCAGGGACCTCGCCTTGGGAGCCTCTTTTCCTGGAGCGCCCAGGCCCAGCGACCTGGAGCAGAGCCCAGATGCATTCTGCCCTCGATGCGATGGGGGACTTTGCAACAGCAGGGTGAGGAAAGAGGCAAAGGCAAGCCGCGACACAGCGCCTTGGCGGATGTCGCGGCCGTGGCAAGATCCCGAGGTCATTCTTGATATCATAGAGGCTTCCGTCCTGTGCCGCCGATCCGGGGCGCTCTGGAGCGCTCCGTGCGAACCCGTCCTGTTTAGTAGTTTGTGGAATCTACCTCGAGGACGCAGGAGGGAGGATGAGGGGGGAGAGGGAGGGGCAGAGGGAAGGGGAAGAGGAGGAGGCGGAGGAGGAGGAGGAGGAGGAGGAGGAGGAAATGGAGGAGGAGGAAATGGAGGAGGAGGAAATGGAGGGAGGAAGGGGGAGGAGGAGGAGGAGGAGGAGGAGGAGGAGGAGGAGGAGGAGGAGGAGGAGGAGGAGGAGGATCTCGAGGGCATTCCTGATATCACCGTTCTCGGTGGCGAACTTCGGTTTGAGCTCGTTCTGCCGACTTCCTCGCCCCCCCAGGGCCGCCCGCAGGGGCGCGCATGTCACCGCGCGCGGCGGTCTGGGGCCGAGGGCTGTCCTTTTCCGAGGGGGCGGGGGGGGGGTCCCGAGAGCGCGAAGGTAATGGCGCTTCGCTCGGCGTGGAGCGCGATGCCAGGCGACCTGGTTTGTCGTCAGTCGTATCAGTGAAGGGAGTGGTGTTCGGCCCATCCCGCCACCGTGCGTGGGATGTCGGCAAGAGGTCTGCTCGGAGGCCCACGGAAGGAGCGTCGGAAGCGCCCATGAGTTCCGGGAAGCTGGTGGCCTGGGCCCTTCACGAATCCGACGACACCCTAACTAACACTCACACCTGTGGTGGTCCAGAAGGGGCTTCGCCTTCGAGGATCGAAGGAGTTGCCATCTCTGCCTCGGCGAAAGGTCGGCGGAAGGCGGCGGAAGTAAAACGGGGGCGGCCCCGCCGGCGGAAGGCTGCGGAAGGCCGGTGGAGGGCCAGTGGGCGGCGGCGGAAGCAGAAGATCCGCCCCCAAGAAGTCGAACGTGTTTGGGTTCAGGGTTGCCGGAGTCCGCCCTCTGTCTTGGCTCTGGGGCACTCCACCACGCGCTTAAAGTCACGGTGGCGGACACCCCCTCTCAGCCCGCACGCTCTCGCGCGCTGCCCCCACGCTCTCCTCGCGCGCGTGGGGGTCCACCGCCTGCTTCGTGGGGCGCCCTCGGCCGAGCACATCTTCGTCGTTGGCGTCATCCTCGCGCGCTCTCGCCCGAAGACCACACTGTTTCAGGGCGCGCGCTCGCCCAAAGAGATCTTCGTCGGTGTCGCCTTTCTCGCGCGCTCTCGCCCGAAGAGATGTTCGTCGTCGTCGTTTTTGTTCGTGCTCCTTCGCCTTGGCTCGTTCGAGGAGGCCCTCATCCCCAGGGTTTTCGTGCCCCTCCTCATCGGCCCATGGGCGTTGGCGAAAACGTCGGCCGGGTCGGCGTTCTGGAGGAGCGCGCCTGGGGACCTTTCCTCGCGATCACCGTTCCCGCCGCTGGGAGCGCCGCCCGCCGACGCCGAACGCTCATTCCCTCGGACACGTATCCGCCTCCTGATCCTCGCGCCTGCTCGAGGAGTGCTCAGGCTCCGCGGAGCGCCGACGGACCCCACGCTCTTGTCGGCTATCTCGGTGGCCCGGGGGGCCCAGCTGGGTTGCCGAGTCCTGCCTGGCACGCTGTGTCTCGTCACGCCACCTCCTTCTGCTGCCCCCCCCGCCTCCTGCCTCCTCGTCGAGGTGGAGGGTGCTGGAGGATGAGGAGAGGCAGTGGACCTAGGGGCGCAGCCAGGTTGCTGGGTCCTGCTTGCCCGTCTCTTCCTCGGTACGACTCGCCCTTCTCCTCCTATTCGGGCTCAACCTAACTTTTGCTCAGGCCACGGGGTTTTAGGGTCGACTCGAGAGCTGCTCGACTTCGCGGCGACATGGCTCGCAGAAGATCCGCCGCGATCGCCTTTGCAGGCTGGGCTCGGAGTTCATGGCGGAGCTGGAGGCCGGCTCCATCCCAGACAGTGCCGTGAGTCCGAATCTCGAATGCGATGTCGACAAATTCACAGGCGCAACGCTCAAGTGAGCATGCGGGTTCCAGAGCGCCTGGGGCCTAGGAGGTCAGCATTCCAGGCACCCCCCCCTTAGCCTGGACGCCGACAGCAGAATTTGGAGGCTCATTGGGGAAACGCTCAAGTGAGCGTCCGCGCTCCGGGCGCAGTATTCGCAGATCTTCGTCACCTCCTTCCCTAGCCTTTTTGGCTCAAGCCGCCCATTCTGGCCCAAGCGGTCGCCACTAGGTGTCGTCGGTAACCGCAGCGTTGGACGCTGCCAGACTTCACCGCGCCATGGCTCGCAGAGGATCTGCCACCACTGCCGCCACGGGCTGCCTCTTGCTCGCCTCGCTGTATTACCTCCATGGCATGACGGGCTTTGTGGGCAGCACCGCCGGAAACACGGGCCGCAAGCCGACTGTGCAGACCAATGCCGTCGACAAGGCGATGAAGGAGCGCATCGCGTCCGTCGCAAAGACAGGCAAGCTCACAGAGGCCATGCGCCTCGTCGCCGCCGCCAAGGTGCGCCGCGCGCAGGCTGGCGTGGAGAAGGCCAGGCCATTCAGCGACGAGCTGTCCTCCATGATCAAGGGCCTGGTCAAGAAGCTGAAGGGCAGCGGCCTGGAGTCGGAGCTGCCGATGCTGCGCGTGCCCGAGAAGGTCAGCAACGTCGGCATCGTTCTCATCACCTCCGATCGCGGCCTCTGCGGCGGCTACAACGCAAGGATCATGAAGAAGGCGGCTGCTCGCATTGAGGACCTGAACAAGGAGGGTATCGTGCCGAAGATGATCATCGTCGGCAAAAAGGCATTGTCTGGTCTGAACACCAAGCTGAAGGAGGTGAAGCTGAACTACACCGGGACTTTCATCAGAATGCCTGACTCCATTACGTCCTCCGCGATCGCTGAAATTGGCGACGAGCTCAGGAACCTCTTCCTGTCGGGAGAGGTGGACAAGGTGGAGGTTATCTACGCCAAGTTCATTAACCTGCTGTTGAACGAACCGCAGGTCCGCACCGTGCTGCCGCTGAGCCCCACTGGTATCGAGGATCCTGACGACGAGACCTTCGCCCTTACCTCCGAGGACGGCAAATTGTCCGTGAAGAAGGAGAAGGTGAAGAAGGTGGATGCCAAGGAGATCGAGTCTGACGTGATCTTCGACCAGCCCCCAGAGGTTATCCTGAATTCCATGCTGCCGCTGTACCTGAATTCGCAGCTGCTCTCCATGTTGTTTGACGCCCAGGCTTCCGAGCTCGGGTCCCGCATGACCGCGATGAAGGCGGCCACGGACAACGCAAAAGACCTCGGGGAGAGGCTCACCATCCTCTACAACAAGAAGCGCCAGGCCGCCATCACCCAGGAGCTCTGCGAGATCACCGCCGGATGCCTCTGCGTCGAGCAGAAGGGCACGCGCAGCGGAACCATGCTGGGCGAGTTCGACAACGAGGACACCGTGGGCGCGGACTTCATGACGGAGCTGGAGGACGGCTCCATCCCGGATGCTCCCTTGAGCCCGGACCTCGACAGCGACATCAGGATGTTCACGGGCGACACGCTCAAGTGAGCGCGCGGGCTCTAGAGCACAGGTCAGGAGGAAGGCATGATTGTGCGGTCAAGTGACTCCGCCTCCTTTGCCTCCGTCCTCTCCCCCACCCCCTCCAGGTTGTACCCCCGCCACCGCTCCTCTACTCCAGCCGGGGCCCCGCCGGTTAGTTCTGGGGCGAGCCACGACTCCCGCGATTTTGCAGGGAGCGCAAGCATTTTTCATAAAAAGAAAGAGATTTTCGCCGCCGTCGTCGTCTTTTTCGCAGTCGTCGTTTTTGTCGTCGTCGTCGTCGTCGTCGTCGTCGTCGTCGTCGTCGTCGTCGTCGACATCGTCCTGGGTATCGTCCTGGGCTCACTCGAGGAGCCCCTCATCCTCAGGATGCCATGCTTCTCCTCGTCGGCACATGAGCTTTAGCGGAAACGTCGGCCGATCGGAGACATATTTAGGATGCCGGGGTCGGGGAGCGCGCCTGAGGCCCCTTCCTTGCGCTCACGGTTCCCGCCGCTGCGGACGCCGCCCACCGACGTCGAACGCTCCTTCCCGCGGGCACGTATCCGCCTCCTGCAACTCGCGCCAACTCGAGGAGTGCTTTGGCGCCGCGAAGCGCCGACGGACCCCACGCCCCGATCTGCTATCTCGTTGGCCCGGAGGGCCCAGCTAAATTGCTGAATCTTGCTGGGCAGGTTGTTCCTTGCCACGCTTCCTGAACCTGCCTCATCCGCCTCGTCGAGGAGGGGGTGGTGGAGGAGGAGGAGAGGTGGCCTCGGTACCCCGAAGGCGCGGCCCGTGTGCCGAGGTCTGCTTGCCCGTCTCTTTCTCGTTACGCCTCCTCCTCCGAGTGCCGCAGCCATTTGGGCTCAAGCTATCTTTTGCTCAGACCACGGGGTTTCAGGGTCGACCCGCGATCCGCTCGACTTCGTTGCGTCATGGCTCGCAGAGGATCCGCCGCGATCGCCCTTGCAGGCTGCCTGCTGCTCGCCTCGCTTTGGCACCTCCGCGACATCACGGGCTTTGTGGGCAGCACTGCCGCAAGGGCAGGTCGCAAGCCGATTGTGCAGACCAATGCCGTCGACAAGGCGATGAAGGAGCGCATCGCGTCCGTTGCGAAGACGGGCAAGCTCACAGAGGCCATGCGCCTCGTCGCCGCCGCCAAGGTGCGCCGCGCGCAGGCTGGCGTGGAGAAGGCCAGGCCATTCAGCGACGAGCTGTCCTCCATGATCAAGGGCTTGGTCACAGAGAGCGAGCAAATGCACTTCGCACGCCCTCTCCTCCTCCAGCCCCCTGGCCCTCTCCCTTCCCCTCGCCCCCTGCTCCCTCATGCCCTGGGGTTGGGTGCAACGATAGGTGCACTTGCTGTGTTTGATCCCCAGGTCAAGAAGCTGAAGGGCAGCGGCCTGGAGTCGGAGCTGCCGATGCTGCGCGTGCCCGAGAAGGTCAGCAACGTCGGCATCGTTCTCATCACCTCCGATCGCGGCCTCTGCGGCGGCTACAACGCAAGGATCATGAAGAAGGCGGCTGCTCGCATTGAGGATCTGAACAAGGAGGGTATCGTGCCGAAGATGATCATCGTCGGCAAAAAGGCTTTGTCTGGTCTGAACACCAAGCTGAAGGAGGTGAAACTGAACTACACCGGGACTTTCATCAGAATGCCTGACTCCATTACGTCCTCCGCGATCGCTGAAATTGGCGACGAGCTCAGGAACCTCTTCCTGTCGGGAGAGGTGGACAAGGTGGAGGTTATCTACGCCAAGTTCATTAACCTGCTGTTGAACGAACCGCAGGTCCGCACCGTGCTGCCGCTGAGCCCCACTGGTATCGAGGATCCTGACGACGAGACCTTCGCCCTTACCTCCGAGGACGGCAAATTGTCCGTGAAGAAGGAGAAGGTGAAGAAGGTGGATGCCAAGGAGATCGAGTCTGACGTGATCTTCGACCAGCCCCCGGAGGTTATCCTGAATTCCATGCTGCCGCTGTACCTGAATTCGCAGCTGCTCTCCATGTTGTTTGACGCCCAGGCTTCCGAGCTCGGGTCCCGCATGACCGCGATGAAGGCGGCCACGGACAACGCAAAAGACCTCGGGGAGAGGCTCACCATCCTCTACAACAAGAAGCGCCAGGCCGCCATCACCCAGGAGCTCTGCGAGATCACCGCCGGATGCCTCTGTGTCGAGCAGAAGGGCACGCGCAGCGGAACCATGCTGGGCGAGTTCGACAACGAGGACACCGTGGGCGCGGACTTCATGACGGAGCTGGAGGACGGCTCCATCCCGGATGCTCCCGTGAGCCCGGACCTCGACAGCGACATCAGGATGTTCACGGGCGACACGCTCAAGTGAGCGCGCGGGCTCTAGAGCGTCCAGGAGTTCGGCATTCCGGACACCCCCAATCCTTGACGCCGACAGCACAATTTGGAGGTTCACCGGGGAGACGCTCAAGTGAGCGTCCGCGCTCCGGCCGCAGGATTCACAAGAGGGTGTATTCTGCTCTCTTTGTTTGATCTAATCGCTCCTCCACCTCGGCAGGGGGAGGCCCTGGGAGGCACTGGGATGGCCTACGCAGTTCCCCAGTGACTGCAGGAAGCTCGTCTCAGCGTGACCGTGCAAGGGGATTTTTATTCTAGCGTACAGTGGACAAACGGTGGTCACCAGAAGTCGGAGGGGCTCTGTCTCCTCGGGCCGTGTGTAAGGGGCCCTGTGCTGTTGCGCTCTCACTGGAACATCCGAAAAATACGAGTTGGTGCCCTGGCGAACTTGACCAGCAGGTCTCGCCTTCGCCGTCCGCGGGTCTGATTCTCCCAGCTTCCACGTCCGTCCTGCGCGACGATGTCGTGTGTGTCTCCTCCTCGTGCCTCCTGGCCAAACACCACGCGAGGAGGCTTCCAGAGGCCGAAGGAGCCGAAAACGTCAGGCAGCCTTGAGCGTCAAACCTCGATTCTCTTCCTCCTCCTCCTCCTCCTCCTCCTCCTCCTCCTCCTACTCCAGGCCTCGAGGATTCAAGCGTTCCCTGAAGGCCCTGCGTCCACAGCGCCTCGCAGGGAGGTCCCATGGGAGCCCGCCCCTACCAAGGACCCTGACCAGAAGGCTTGGGGGATGATACGATCCCCGCCCTACCATGCCGATCCGCGTATTCGTCTGGACGGCCGTCTTCCTGGCCCCATTGAGGGGGTGTCTAAGCTGCCACTTTTGCGGGCCTGCGCCCGCGGGGTTGGGTCCCCGGTGCGTTTTAGCTACATGGTGCGGTGTTTTGCTAAAGGGTGTCCTGAACATCCTCCGACATTCAAGCACTCCCCAGAAGGAGTCAGTGTTTGCGACGATGGTGGAAGTCATCTGGTTGGCTAGGAGCTTCTGGGATGCATGTGAGGGGCCCGTGGGATGCCTCTCAGATGCCTCTCTCAACGGCCTCCGATATTTTTGCTTCAATCCGCGGCCCCAGAGCTCCCGACCCCTGGATCCGCGGGGGGGAGCTCGCGGATCTGCGAGCTCCCCAGAGCTCCCAGATCCGCGTCTGATGGCCTCGTCTGGAGCCCGCGGACGGGCCCCAGGGGCCGGAAATCGAACGGAAGCCCAGATCGAAGGAATCCAGCCGGAGGTCGAAGTTTGCTGAGGAGGAGAACGCGGGAGAGGAGGAGGAGGAGGAGGAGGAGGAGGAGGAGGAGGAGGAGGAGGAGGAGGAGGAGGAGGCGGCGGAGGTCTGGCAGCCCCCCACCTTCCCGTCCACCGCCCCGTGCCAGGCCTCGCAGCAGAGCCGCTCCTGCGAGGCCGAGCCCGAGCCCCAGCCCTCGCCCCAGCCCCGGCCCGCGGGGCCAGAGGCGCCTCCGCTGCCAGAGGGCTGGAGGGCGCTCTGGTGCCAGGACGGCCGCGGCCCTCGGGGGCGGCCCCAGAGCCTGTCGAGTGGTGAAGAAGTGACGGCGGGAGAGTCTCTTCTCGACGCTCGGCCTCTGGGGGCCCTCGGCGGGCCCCCGGGGCCGGTAGGGTACGCCTCAGGATGAGAAGCCGTTCCCGGGGAACGGGTCGAGACCTCCTGGGGCCGACGTCACGAGCCGAGCACGGCGTCGGGGGTCCTGGACCGATCGGTGGCAGCCGCAGGGGGGATGGGCCGAGGGGGTGCACGCGTCGACCCCCAAATCGCCCATGGATCGCCGACAGGGGCCCGACACGCCACCCCGCCCAGGAGCGTGCGGATTTGCTGTATCGGCGACGTATCGCCGATCCATCGGCGACGCATCGCCGATTCCAGCTCGATGTATCCCTGCCTGAGCTGGTCCGCGCCCGGTCGTAGCCCTCAGGCCCCGAGGGAAGGCGGGGGGGGTCAGCGCGGAGGGCGCAGGTGATGGGGGAGGGGGAGGGGGAGGGGGGTGGGAGGGCGCATGTCAAAAGGAGGAACCGATAACTACCGATAGCGCTGCTCGTTCAGGAAAGCTCTGGTCGTCACGGCCCCCTTTTCAATAGAAGTTCTTGTCAGAACGCGCCCAAGGAGAGGTCCATGGAGTAACGGTATCAGTGTGCTTTGAAGTTTCCCCAGGGGGGAGGAGGGAGGGGGGAGGGGGGATGATGAGCGGAAAACGTGGCAGTGTGGAGTCCCTCGGGGTCGAGGGCGCGCGCGTGCGAGAGTGTTGGCGCGCGCGTCTGTGAAATCTCTGCGTGCTCTATGGCGTCCTTCTCTCCTTCCTCCTCCTCCTCCTTCTTTTTTCATATCTTCCTCCTCCTCTTCCTTCTCATCGTCATCATCATCATCAGCATCATCATCATCCTCTACTTATTTTTATCCCAAAAACAAATCTGGGTGGGGAGTGCCCGTTTTTTGTTCGGTGTGTTTTGGGGAACATCCGCCTCCTCAACCTCCTCCTCCTCATCCTCCTCCTCCTCCATCGCTGCCTCCTCCTCCTTCTTCTCCCCCTCCTCTTCCTCCCCTAGCCCCTGCTACGCTAGCCCCTCTGCGCAATCCTGCTGAGGCCTGCTGCCCCGTGCTAAACCCCGCTAAGTCTTGGTGGGGGCTGCCAGCCCCTGCTAAGCCCTGCTAATGGGCCCTGCTAAGCCCTGCTAGTGAACCCTGCTGCTAAGTCACGTTGAGAAGCCCTGTTAGCGCCCTGCGGAGTCACGATGGGCCCTGCTAAGCTCTGCCAAGCTCTCCTAAGCCATGCTAAGTTGTTCTAAAAACTGCCCGGCCCTGGTACGCAATGCGAACTCATGCTCGGCACTGCCAAGAGGTGCCATGCCACGGGAAGCCTTGCGAAGCCCTGCCACGCCCGCTTAAGCCCTGCTCCGCCCTTCCAAGCTCCGAGCTGCCATGCTAGCCCCTGCTAAGTCCTTCCCTTGCGGGCCCTGTTTGATGAGCGTTGCTAGGCCCTGCGCTGCCCTGATAAACTTTGCTCTTCCCGGGTAAGCTTGGCTAAGGCTTACATTTGCCTGGTGAGCCATGCTAGGCCCTGTTAGGCCCTGGCTCTTGTAAGCCCTGCGACGCTCTGCTAAGCTACGCCTAGCCCAGCCATGGCCTGTTTCGCCCTGCTACGCCCTTATATGATATGGTAAGTCCTGCGAAGCTTGGCAAAGCTCCGCTACGTCCTGCTGGGTTCCACCAAGGATCCCTTACCACTGCCATGCCAAGCTCCGTGTTACTATGCCCTGGTAAGGCCTGCGAAGCACTGCTAAGCCTGGATCAGCCCTGTGGGGGCCTGTGACGCTCTGCAGATCCATGCTCATATCAGCTAGATTTTGTTTTGCTGGGCACAGCTAAGCTCTGGTCGGCCCTGATCTTCCCGGATGGGTTCTAATAGGCCATGATCGGCCATGATAGGCCCCGATAAGCCACGATATGGCGTGCTAGGCAATGTTCTGCCCTGCTTTGCTTTGCCTGGCCCTCTTAAGACATGCGAATCCGGGCTACGTTGTCATTGGCCCTGCTAGTCCCCGGTAAGCAATGCTAGCTCTTGTCATGTATTGCTGAGATGCGAAGCCTTGGTGCGTCCTGCAAAGCATCGCTGAGCCCTGATCAGTCCTGCTAATCGCTGCTGTGCTGTGGTACGTCCTGCTGAGCCCAGCTGAGGTGCCCGAAAATTCGTAGGCCCTGATAATCTCTGCTAGGCCTTGCAAAGCCCTGCTGAGCAGTGATAGGTCCTGAAAAGTCTTGCTACGACAAGGGTAGCCCTGCTCAGCCATGCAAAGCCCTGCTAAACGCTGCCAGGCCCAGATGTGCTCTGATAAGCACTGGTCCGGTATGCCCAGACCTGCTCGGCTCTGCTAGTCCCCGCGAAGCCTTTTTAAGTTTTGATTTGCCCTGTTGGACCCTGCGAAGCCCTGTGGAGCGCTTGCTAATTCCTGGCAAGCTTCGATCCGACATGCGTAGCCCTGCTCAGACATTCTAAGCCCTGCTAAGCTCTGTCACGCTCAGATGTGCTCTGGTGGGCACTGATCAGGTATGCCAAGCCTTGCTCGTCTCTGTAGAGCCTTGCCAGGCCGTGCTAGGCATTGGTGGGCCTTTCGGAGTTCTGATTTGCCCTGCTCGGCCTCGCGAAGCCCTGCTGAGCCCTGCTAGGTCCTGACAAGCCCTACTGGGCCCTGCAACGCCTTGCAGAGTTTTGTGCACTCTGCTAAGCCTGGAAACTATGTTGTGTCGTGCTAAACACTGGTCGGCCAGGCGAGGCCCTGCTGAGCCCTGATGAGCGTTGCTAGCCCTTGCTCGGCCCTGCTACCCTCTGTCTGCTATGCCATGCCTAGCTGTGGTAGGCCTGAAATCTGACAGGCGTTGCTAAGCCCTGCTGAGGTCTGAGAATACCTGCCATGGCATAGCAAGCCGTGCTGAGCCATGCTAGGTTCTGCGACATCGTGCTAGGCCCTGGTAGGTCCTGACAGGCTCCCTCGCTGAGCACTGCGAAGCTCTGCGAGCACTTGCTAAGCCCTGCTAAGCCCTGCGATTTCATCGTATGCGGTCGCCATGATACGGCCTGCTAAGCGGCGATCGTCAGATGCCCAGCTTGATCTCGCTGGGCCAGGCTGAAACATGCCAAGCCTTGATAAGCTGCTAGGCAGTGCTAAGCCCTGCTCGAATCAGCTGGCCCTTGAATGGCCTTGCGGAGTCCTGCTCGCCCTTCCCCGGCACTGCTAATCTCTGCTTGGCTCTGCTCGGCCTTGCCGGGCATGCGGGCCCAAGGCCTGCGGCCCATGTTAGCCACAGAGGAGAGCTTTGAGGGAGTTTGGGGGGGTCTTCGCCCCACCGCCAGTCGCCGGGGGAGGGGGCTTCTCCTCCTCCCTCTCCCCTCCTGCGTCTCCTCGCACGGTCGAGCCTCACGCTGCTCATGGGCACAGGCAGTCACCGAATGTTGACGTCACGCACCTGGGGC